TTGTCACTTAAACGATAGAAATGTGCGAGACCAAGCTTGTCTGAACCAATACCTGTTACTGTGGGGAAAAAAAGCGTCATTTTTAAAAAAAAGGAGTTTTTTACTCTCAAAACTGAATAATATTGATTGACCATCAAAACTGAAAAGCGAAATCAACATCATTTATTCTAATCTCGTCCCCTATGAAATAGTTTTGACTTCGGAGAAAAATTTAATTATAATGATTCTGTTATAATTAATATTCTAATAGATGGTAAACACTATTGCTTTGAATCAAACTTAATCAAATATGCTAGTTTTTTTTTCAAATCTTCCAGTGTATCAGCAGAGTGAATCTTACAATAGGTTTTATCTCAATTGAGGCAAATTATGCTTTTCATATAACATTTGGTGGCCTTAGTGATAGATTATGCTTTATTATATAACGAATAGAATGGTTTCTCCCGAGAGATAACATACGTAAATTTCAAATTAATGTTCAACAGTAGCAAAAGGCAAGTGTTGAAAAGTCGAATGTTTATTGTACAAAGGATGCCACATCTTAAATGATGACAGATAGTTTGCAATAGTTCGTGATGCCTGTCATTACTTCCGCTCTTTTTTTTCTTTCTTTGTGTATATGTCATAGAATAATTAAAAATATCATTTACACGTGCTAAATATATTAGACCTATAACTTATTTTCCCATATAGGATAATGTGCAAAATGTTTTCTGATTTGGTGTAACAAAATAAAAAATTTCAATCAATCACCTATCATTGAGAATAGATTTACAGCTTTAAATGGCATTTAATCTTCAAAGTCGGATGATGACTTTAAGTGGCTATTATTATTGATTTGTGTATGTGTATGGACCTGTGCGTATGGTTAAAGAAGAGAAGAACAAATTATTATCATTCTTATTTTTATCTTAGACTGTTACATCCTCAATAAATGCCAGAATGGATAATTGTACATTTATCAAGCAATATACACACGCGTTACGATGATGAAACTTTAAAAAATATGAAAGTATTCCGAATTTCAGATGACCGTAACCTATTTTTCTTGTAAATTATTGGTTATCATTTATTTTAGCTATTTTTTTTTTTATTTCAACTTTTGCGTATATGTATAACAGAAAGAGAAGGAAAGAAAGAGAAAGATATATCAATTCAAATGATGTGTTTATACAGTGAGTGAATTATGAACTACAAAAGATGCCTAACGGATACGTTTCTACTCGTTAATGATCCATAATCGATCTATGAAGTGAAATACATGAAAAGAATGATTTTCATTCTGGTATTGTACTTAAAATATTCTCATTGCTGTTGATTAGATAATATAGAATGTCTACCGAGAGTAATAACTAAAAAGAAGTATTTCGTAATCTTATTTACTATAGATTACTATAGAAATTGAGACTTTACTCATTTGTTTGCAGCTCCAACTGATATAATATTTTAATGACTAGTTGACTCTCTTTAAAAAAACGTAACAAAGAAAAGTATATTCTTCTCTGTTTTTCAACAAAATCAGTAATAAAATACTACTTTAACATTTATTTATATGCATAACTTTTGTTTGAATCGATCTATTATAATCGTGGTGAAAAAAAGTGTGTATATGTGTATGTAGTCAATATAAATAATGTGCACGTACAATTTTTTTGAAATATCATTTATCTGCCATGTTTCATTGTCATTATGAGTTAATTATAATTTATAGACGAAATGGGAGATGCTCATCTGTATTTATTTCTTATATTTGTGATCATAAACAATCTATAAAAATAGACAGGTTTTCCCTGCGTTATTATGGATTTTATGAGTTACAGACACTACATCGTATCATAAATCTTTCTTGTGTTCTAAATAGTTACATGGTTCTATCATTTATCTCTTTTGCTGATCATATGTACAAGTTAATTTTTTGTCGACGGAAAAACAGAAGAGAGGATGATTGAACAAGTCATCATTCTATAGAAAGAATAATTGTGCGAAGTGTATATACATTAGACATCTTCTATATATATGGCAAGAGAGAGAGAGAGAGAGAGAGAAAGACAGGGTGGACTCGTCAATCAACGTACGGATAAATATAACTGTATCAAAAAAAGGCAACATAAACGAAATATTTCAGAAATTATAGCACAATTTGAACATAGAAGTGCTCTTTTCATTCAGCAAAGATGCGTTTGAATTATAGAGAAATCTACCCTTATTGTATTTGCTCTACTAGCAGATTAGAAGTGAAACGATCATGTTTCTCTTCACTACAAGTACACACTTTCTTATACTGATAATCGCAAATTTGTCTGACTGAATGACAATAGCATAAGGTCGAATACGTATACGATAGGCAAATAGTTTGATGGATACTTGTTTCCTTAACATAACATAGAACAGTTATGTGTAATAATATCTATTACTCACAACATAGTACCAAATATAATCGATTTTTTCTTAAAAATATATCAGCCATTCCAAAGAATGCGCAATGCTTATCACTTGTTAACAAAAGAACAGTGATTTAGACATTCAGAAAGAAAAATAGAATGGATCAATGGTCTTGGACCAAACTAAAATCAGTAAGAAAAAAAAATTTTTTTCGAGATTGGAGAATACAACATATTTTGTATATAATAGACAAGTGACTTTTGACAAATGAGTGTTCAATTTTTTGAAATAACGGGTGTACCAAAAAGAATGACGTAATTTATATTTTCAGCTTTTCTTCTCTCCCTTTGTACTTAGAGCGCTGATCTTTTTACCAAAAGATTTTCCATTAATTTCTCTACAAAGTGGTATATAGAAGATAATCCTGAGGTTTGAGACACTGTCTTAATTGAACAAACATCGAAATATCCTAAAAACTTTAAAAATGTAACTCAAAAAAGTGTATTTCGTCAGTATGCAGTTGAGCGCATGCATTGTGTGAGAAACAAGTAGGCAAAAATGTAGCCCTTAAAATTCTCTATCGATTAGCTGTAATGAGGATTTTCTATCGTTATTTCTGTGTTTTCAGTAACAAAACAAAGGGAGAGGAGAAAAGCTGAAAATATAATTTACGTCATTCTTTTTGGTATACCCGTTAAGTGTCCTAATTGTCTTATGTCTCTTGAGATTATCTGATGCTACTCATTCTTAAAACACTATTGATATTGATTATTGACGATAGATGAGAAAACTTGATGTACAAGCAAAAGTCACAATTTTATGTCGATATTCTCATGCAAGTTTTGTTTATTATAATTGTGCAAGTGATTGTTTATTATTTATCTATATATCTGTCTGTAGTATATGGTGAATGAAAAGTATTTTCTTCTTTCTGTTTTCTCTTCATTAACATCTTCCTACCGGAACACTCGGTTTATAGGCTCTATATTTTCTTTCAATTTAACGCTTGTTCGCCTTTGAAATCAACACTGCTGTGCGTGTGTATGATTTATGACCTGATGACGGATAACATGTAAAAAATTTATCAAGAAGTTTATAATTATCAACTGGAAGAAAAATGAACAACTTGTGGAGGAAAGTTATGCAAAAAACGAGATAATAATGAGGTTACTGCTGTCCCTCTTTATTCGTCAGTATAAACATTAAAATTTTAGTAAAACTTACAACTGCTTTTCAATCGAGCTGGAACATCTTATATCAGGGCTATAAAATGGTTTATGAAAAAAACACACTTTAAAATATCTTTAAATGAAGCGCGTGTTCCTATCGATGTCCATCGTTTTATTTCGCACGTGTTTAGTTAAAAAAGTAACTTTACTTTTTTTCTTTACATATGAACTTTTGTTTTCTATTGATCTGACAAAAGAAATCATTCTTAGATGAATGTTTTTCAATTATTACAGAAACCAGCAACAGAAACATTACCAACGTTTAAGCATACAAACAAACAAATCTGACAAGTTGCTAAAGATTAAAAATGTTGATCGTTACACACATATGCACGTATTTCTTTGATATAGTTTAACGATAAGGATCTAACTTTTGTTTCAAAAAAAATAATTGCAACTCGATCATGGAAGGAAGACGATCTCTATCTTTGACATTGATCAAAACGGTATGCAAATAAAGTGTCGGCTTGTTTTTATTAAAAATGTGTGTCTCGACTATGATTTTGATAAGCTATTTGTAAATACACAACAATAAGCGAATAATTACAACTTGTCACCATGTAAATAAAGAAGAGAATGTTTTTGTTTTCTTCCTTATTTATAGTACATACACATTATGAGTATATAACGGCACAAAAAAAAACTCTTGAAGTACGCCATAGACTTTATAAATATTACCGATACGGAAATGGTAGTTCATTCGCCGACAAGTCACAACTTATTGAAAAAAAGAAGAGAAGAAATACTTGAATAAAGTATATAAATCGGGGCAGGTATTGTCACACGACAAACGTCAATTAAAGTGTTCATTTCCTGCCACCAACGGATGTATAGAAAACCATTAAACGAATGAACGACGACGACCGTATCTTTCTACTTGAGCTCATTTTTTTAATATTTCTTTTTTCAGAGGAAATTGACACAATAGTTATTGTGTAAACGAATAAAAGAGCTATAACTGTATGATGTCGATCGTATGATGAGAAGCAGTGCAACGGACGATTGAAAAAAAAAAGAAAGTGTTGCCTGTTTGTCTGTCTATTAGCGTCTCAAATCAACTATTATCTTTATTACCTCATTAAAGACTCATGTATCTGTTATTTTAGGTTAATTGAAAACAATAACATTGATGAATTGCCTCCGCATGCCTAGTTAATAACAAACGTTACTGTCAACACGAGTTTAACGTCGAAGTTTTTGTTTAATTTAAAAGAATTATCATAAAGTCCGGTTAGATCTTAAAAGAAACAATAAATACATCAAATACTGAAATAAAAATAAAGAGAAAAAGACAAAGAGACTACAGATTTATAATACGACAAAAAAATACACGGGTAACTAACCATATACATCGATTGACTATATCAGAAAGAAGTCTGGAAATTTAATTTACAAGTTCGTTGTTCCTGTTGTTGTTGTTATTCGTTGTAAACAATTTTCCGTATGTTTATTCAACAATGACATTCTTGAAAATGTCTTTTGACATCTTGAACAACGATATTTTTTAATATCTGAATGTGTCTGCATATGTGCACGTAAATTCGATCGATCGGCAAATGCTCGACAACATATTTCACATTTAAACGGTTTTTCACCAGTATGTGTTCGCACATGACCTTGTAATAGCCATGGTCGACTAAATGCTTTACCACATATTTTACATTTACACGGTAATGTATGTGTTCTTATGTGCATTTTTAGTGCACCTAATGAATTATACGTTTTTTCACAATATTTACATTGAAATTGTTTTTTTATTTGAGCAACACAATGAAATTGTTTATGTTTTGATAGACCACCAAATGTCGAATAACTTTTAGAGCAACTGTCGCACTGGTAGCGAGAACTCGTTTGTGTTGATGTTGTCGTTGATGAAGCAGAAGTTGTAATTGTCGACGGTGTCGTTGTACTACCCGGAGAAGATGCAGCTGATGATGACGAACCATTACCGTTTGGTGATGTAGATAATGAGAGCGCTGTTGATGTACAGTTTGGTGCTGTTTGACCATAATAATAATTTAATTTATCGACAAATAACGAAGAATTTGGTCTTGAATGAGCTAATGGAGGTTTAAATGGATTGAATGAATAGTTATTGAGTGGTGGTGCAATAGATGGTTTAGTGTCTTTATTTGCTGATGGTTGTTGCAACGATTGTAAACGCTGTAGAACGGCTGTTGGTGGCACGTTGTTTGTCTTCGATATACAAGCAAAATAATACAAATAATACAAATAGTTATATTCATTTGTTGACATCATACGTGGTGGACTTTTGCTAAAAGCACGATGAAAAGTTTGTGAATTTTGATATTGGATATCATCGGAAGTTGTTGTTATTCTTGCTGTATTAATAGGAGGCGAAGATTTTTCACATTTAATATCAATTTTGTGTTGAGAAGATGTTTCCATTTGATTATTAACATCAGTGTCTTCATCCATCTCACAATCACCATCCTCATCAAAACTCGATATTTCACATTCGCTTTCCAATGAGTTATTCATGATTGTTCGACATTTTGTTCTTGATGGTGGCGGTGTTGACTGATTATTGCCAGTATCATTTTTTTCGCTATCGTCGATGTTGTTGGTAGTAGTCGAAAGAAGACTTGATATTGAAAAGCTATCCACTTTTCGACATTTGAGAATTGGATGTTCTGACTCTAAATTGAAGACGTATTCACACACACTTTGGAGCAAAAATAAGAAAATACAACAAAATTCAAAGTTTTTATGACGTAAAATTTACAAGTTGCTTACTAAGATACATAAAGTCGTCGCTTAGTATGGAGATACAAACCAATGGAATAGGGTTCCACGTACAGCGATTAAGAGGAACATCGATGATACAGTTTTGTCCATCAAATATCTCTATTTCCTATGAACTGTACGGCTTATCTGTCAAAATTCGATTCTTTATTTTACGAAAAGAGAGAAAACCAGCTCGAAAAAAAAAGACGGAATAACGATTTAAAGTTATTAGTGATCAAACTAATTTTCTAGAAACTTCAAGCTAACTAATAAATTACGAAATTCTAGGAGTATATAAACAAAACAGAAAGATTTTGACACACGTATGTGATGAGAGAAAAGTATTTGAGTACAATGTTGTACTTAAACTAATATATTTTCACTTTCATGCGAATAATCTAGCGATGGGATTCAGAACTGAAAAAATAATTATTATTATTATTATACATATATAAAAATGATTTAAATATACGATGTACACAACTAGTCGTACTTTTTTCCTGTCTAAACTAGGAGCAAAGTAATAAGAGTTATAAGTTTTGTTATAGTTGAAAGTGTAATAAATTTGGAGATATCAAATGAAACTCTGAAAATGTTAAAAAAATAATTGACACATATTCAATTTTTTTAAAATTTTTATAAATCACACACATGTTAAATTTACTTACCGATAATGGTTACAGAATCGTGTTTCGTCATTGTAGTAAAAATATACTTGATTTTTAAAAACTTATATAACTAGAAGAAGTAGTAACTGGTTAATATTGAATCATTATTTTTGTATAGTGGTATGTTCGTAAAAAAAAAAATGAAGATACTCATTAACCGGTGCCGATGATGATATTTCTGGTTTTTCTTTTCTTCTTCTTTTTTTTTTGTATTTTAGTTCTCTCCAATAGGGTTTTGATTCTTTGTTGTTGAGTACAATCACATCTCTACTCTATCTCTTCTTTCGTTCTATCTATCCTTCATCTTTCTGATGTATTTATGTATATATATTTCTCTTTTTTCTCTCTATTACATTGTGTGTTGTATGTTCTTGTTCTTATCCATACATATACCCGAATGTGTTTATTCGACACTTTTACTCTTTCTCTTTTTTTTCTGATAGGTTCTATATTATACACTGGCTGCACACACTGGTATAAATAGTTGATAGATGCACCAGCAATTCTTTTCCGGTTGTTTTTTTTTTATTATATTTATTATTTATTTCAGCCAGTGCGTCAGGCAACATAATAATAGTAATAATAAGAAATAAGAAAAAAGAGAAAGTTACACAAAACATATTAACAGTAAAAGAAATTGCCACATTCAATGAATGTGCTAAATAATAAATTGACTTTTAACCAATAAGAAATAGTTATAATAATAAATCAGCCAACATATCCAATATATATTTGAAGAGAAACAAGTTGTCTTATCGCGACAATGTTTAAGATATAGTTAATAGTAGCAAAATCTTTAGGTTTACTGTAGTAAGAGAAAATTTATGTTTTGTCTAGCAATAAACTATCCAAATGTTATATATAAATTGTACAAATGGAAGTCAACTGCATCATACCAAAACATAGTAACGAGAGCTTACATACCTAAAACGTGTAGGTACTTAAATTATTGGATCAATTGATAATATTAATATCGTTTGTTGAGATAATGTTGATAAACGTGAATATATATATATACATCGTTTCTCTTAGTATGCTATGTGGCTAATCATGACTCTAGTCTGAATTGAAAACTTCTACATTGTTAAGTAAAATTATAAATTTAGTCAAGTTCTTCACACAAATATTAGTCATATAGATTAACTGCATCTTGTTTCTCTCTCTCTCCCTCCTCCATGCGAAAACTGATCGTTATATATTCATTTGATCTGTAAGAATACTCTTAATAACTTTAATAGAATTTCTTTAATAAGTTCTAATTAGAATTCAGAATTTTTGTTTTCCATACAATTAAAGTTATTAAAATGAAAAAATGGCGATAATAGTTTAAACAAATCAAATAGATATACTAGAACAAAAATTGTATAAAGTTCAAACTTCAAAACAAATATGTACATTATTACAAAATGATGAATATGTCAATTGAAATAAAATGTAATTTTTATTTTTCGTGTAGGCACTTAAACGTCTCTCGTCCTCCACCCCGTATTTTTTCTATTGTTTGTTACTCGTGCCTATCCACACATCCTATTCCACACAGTCATTTAGCAAACGATGATCACACCCAAAAAGAAAACCGTTTTCTATTGTGTAAAACACTTGGCAAATACAATAATATACGTATATATGTATATGTATATGTATACACGTGTCGTTTATAGACGAGCCAACATGCATGTTCGTCAACAAGTGATCTACGAAAGTAAAGTCGTGATCCACAAATATTGTAATGAAGATGATTAGATTAGAACAAAAAACTAACTATTGTATCTCCTAAATAAATTTGACTTGATACATCGTTAATCCCCGTCAATAATTGAATAATATAAATGATTGCATTGTGACATTTTCGTATTTAAAATTTTTTGATTATTGCTTACCAATATGGATATATTATCACATACAATGAAAGAAGACTCTATTACTTGGGAAGTTAATTTTTGAAATACCCAAATTCAAATTTGTTTTAGAATAGAATATAACAGGAATTTTTTTAAAACAAGTGTTTATATGAACCAATCAAGATTAAGCATTGAACGAGTGAAAATATGTAATGAAAGAAAACAAACATTTTATTTTTTTGTGCACTCCAGGTAGTAATTATGTACATTTTACCTTCAACATGCTTTTCTCTTGTTTTTTTATCTTTAATGAGTTGAGTTCTGACTTAATGAATCTCAGTTTTTCTCTTATTATTATTATCATAAAAAATAAGAGTGTCAATGAGTTTGATTCTCTGTGAGTTAGTGACATTTCTCTCTCTTTCTCTCTCTTCCTATCTATTATATACAATTTTTTCAAGTGGTCAACTTGAAATTTTAATAAAATCACAACAGACAAATTTTCTCTGGTGTTATTCACGTAATAATTATAAGTTGTATGATGGTGTATAAACAGTGTGCGACCACTGCTCGCGTATGTGTATGCGCAGCGGTAAAAGAAGACAGTGTGGCAATGATTGACCTAATGAAGTAAAAGACAGCTGAATACATATATCTTCATTGAATGTTGATTTAAATAATAATTTAAAAAATAAATATTATAGTAATTTGACAATCAAAATTTTTGTTATACTTATTTATTCATTAGTATAACTCCAAAAATTTCCAAAATTGAATGTGCGTTTATTATCAAATATCGATGATATTTTAAGAGCAAATCCTTCATTCTCTTTTTAGTATTATTGAATTAAAAGAACATATGGGGAAAATGAAAATTTTTCATTCTATTGTAAATATGTATAATATAAAACTAGAAATCATTTAAACCATTTTTCTCATAGATTCAAATATGTGCATATTGTGTCTCTACGATTTTTGATGTCGCTATATATTTGCTTATGAGAAAGTACAAGATTTTTAATATTAATTTACTTTTACGAGCAACAGTCTTTGCCGTTCGCTATAAGCTCAGAAAAATTTGAGAGTCAGTCATCAGTTCTTGTAACAACATACAATTATATTAATCATCGCTACAAATCGAACTGGAGCTATTCAATTAGTTCAAGTAAAAATGCGATCATTTTTCAAGTTTAAAGTTTTTCAATCGTATGGCAATAGTATGTTCGAATGGTCATATCAGTTCACCTTCCGTAAACGTACACTTTTTTCATAATTCGTCGGAATGAAATAGAACTAGAAGATTAATTGAAGAAAGGCCACAGTCCGTTATCGACTGAGTGCAGAGTGTTGGCGTAGTCAGTTTCAGTGGCTCGATAATTTCTCTTCAGCTGGCAATGTTCTGGTATGACTACCCATGTCTTTAATGGTATTCGTATAGCAGGTGTTCCCCTAAATACGTGGTGACATTACAGTTGGTGCTCTTCATGCCGGTTTGCCAATAGCAAAAGATCGAGTAAAAAATTAGTTGAATGTTTTAATCGCAAAAATACCGAAAAAGAAAACTACGAAGTAAATAATAATTTTATGAGAAAGAAGATATGTCTAGCGTTATTTTCAATCGTTCTTAATGTGATAATCACATTGCAAATCGATGGACCCAAAGGATGGGAGGAAATCAAAGATCATAGAGCAGAAAAGAAAGCTGCTGAGCTTATTTCGACAAGTCAAAATGATCAGATGCGGAATCTATTGCAAAGATTATGAAAGGTAAGTTAGATATACTTGGAAAAACTGTGTATATGAACAGTTCATATCAGTTAATAATCACAACTTCAAAATGACTATACTAATTCCAACCAACTTCCACGAGTTTTATTCGATCCTTAACGACACGAACAAGCGTCGTATGTAATGTTTTTATTTCTATGGGTATCCCAAGTAAAAGTGTCCAAGTGTCCCTTTTTTGTTTTTGCGATAACTCCATCATTTTTTGTGCAATCTGCTCAAACTTTTCTTTAAACGATGCGCCATTTAATTCTCTACAAAAACTTGTGTCACCAATTTTCTCAGAGTAGAAATTCTTAGAGTTATAAAAGAAGAAGCGAGGATGTGTAAAAGCTTCAACTTTCTAAGTCAAAAAATGCTTTTTCTCAAAAATCTTCCTCAGAGTCTAAAATCCGAGACGGCCATTCGAAAGACCGCAAAAAGTTCTATCAGATAGTCACTTCCAAAAATTTTCCAAAGC